CAGAAATTCCACAATGGAAGTATATTCAAAAGAAAGGAAATCAATATATCGAAGATATATATGCACACCAAGGTTTACTGCAGCACTAGTCACAATATCCAAAATATGGAATCAACCTAAATGCACATCAGTGGATGAATGGATAAAAAATGTAGTATATATACATAATGGGTATTATTCAACCATAAAGAAGACTGAAATCCTGTAATTTGCAAGACCTGGTGTTCAGTAGGATAATTGGACTTTACAATAATCTATTGTATATTTCAAAATAGGTAGAAGAGAATAATTTGAATGTCTCTAGTATAAAGAAAAGGCAAATATTTAAGGTGATAGATATCCCCATTACACTGATTTGATCTTTGCAAATTATATGAATGTAATAAATTATCATGTTTACTCTGAAAATATGTACATCTATTATGTATCAATAAAAATTTTTAAGAGTCTATATACATGCAAAACAACACGGATTGGTCTAAAAGAGAGTGCTAAGTAAAAAGTATGAGAATAGGGAATGAGTTATGTAATACAATACCAGTTGCATATATTTAAAATATTTACATTCAAAATAATTTTATAACAATATTTTCCAAAAATGCATATGAACAAAAGGATACAGATTTAACACATCAGAATGATTGCCTGTGCAAGGAGGAAGAAGAAATGGGATAAAAGTAAATAAATGAGTAAATACAGAGAGGGACCTTGCTGGAGATTGATGTTGGTGCTATGTGACACACTGGGCAGTGTGATTAATTGAAACTTGGATCTGACACCCGTCCATCTGTTCATTTGGACATGCATGGGAATGGTTTGTGCATATGGGATGGTTAGTGCCCTATTTCCTTCTCCACAGCAGGTCCCAAAGGAAAAGGAAGTTAGACCTCTCCTTTTAGGAATCACTTGTCTCAAGGAAGCAAGAACTCCAGCTGTTTCTAAGAAGCAGAGCAGAGGGAAGCCCCACCAGCCCACCACTTGGCCAGGAGGACATGTGGCATGTGAAAGGGCAGATAGCTATGGATGGTGACCATGAGGCTTTCCTTTCCAAACGTAATATCCGATAACCATGCGGACGTCCATTATCCACTATCTATTGTCCCAGAGTCTAGACTTTGCCAATCTTCATTAATTTTCGCATCACAAACTGAAGCTTGTGCTAAAGTAGATGCCAGACTTTTCCTACAAAGCACTGCAGAGCAGCTCTGCCTGGATGTGGGGCAGTGGGGACTGGAGCAAAGGCAAGAAAAGAAAACTTCTCATTACCCATCTCTGGGCACCTCTGCAAATGATTGTCTTCGCTTAACCTCAAGGTCAAGACAACCTATTTTATAGTGTTCACTGTCTCTTAGGACAAGCTTTAGCAAGAATCTTGTTTGCTTTTATAATATTAAAAGAGACAATGAAACCTGCCTCTCAGACTATCATTTCACCAAGTCCTGGCTGCTCTGCGGGGAATATTCGTTTCCTCATTCATATTCATGTCTCTAAAAGACAAGTAGACCTTGGATGAAATTTCAGGTGACAGTAAATTATAAATAATGTATCCCTATTTCTTCTCTTCCATACTACTTGCATTTAATTCCCCCTAGGGTCTGTGCGAACACCAGAGACAAGAGGGTAGGAAGCCATTAACATGATGGGAAGCATGAAACGGACTTATGTTATGTGGCAGGAACACAGCAGGGGAAGACCTCTTGATCAAAGGCGGTTTCTGAGGGTTTCTGAGGGCCAGTTCTTCCCTTTTCCCCCTCTTTTTAATTTTATTATTATTTTTTGACATCTTAACTCTTTTCCAGACTATTAGGGAAGCATCTTGCTTGAAATGAATTTCTTATTTTGGTCCACCCAGGATAAGGGGAAGGTCTGTCATGGATGGAGGCCACTTTGGGGCAAACTTTCAGCTCTGTTGTTGCATCAGAGTAGGCACAGCAAACACTCAGGGTGATTGGCTGAGGTCAGCCCATCCTAAGCATAGGATGCTGAAGTGGAAAACTCAGGTACTGTCAATGAAGTTGGAAAGGATGCTAAAATCGCCAAAAAGAAATTAACCTCTAAATCCTTTAGCCCTGGTTTGCCATCACCTAGGCTTCTGGTGCTCCTCAGACTCCTTGTCCAGCAGAACAGTTCATGCCTGTGTGGTCCAGATGGCAGCACTCCAATCTTGCATTAAGTGAAGATACTCTGTTCTTCATCTTTGTTTCTTTCCCTTCCTGACAGCACCCACGTCCCCACCCTTTGGAAGCTCATGCCCTTGGATTCTCTTCCTTCTTCATAAAATACACTCTTGCAGGGGTGGAAAAAGAAGGGGAGGGTGTGGCACAGGCAATGAAGACTCATTAGTATCAACATGCAAATGACTATGTAGCCTAGTGTCACGTATTCAGGGAAATTTGCACTGGGGTCGCAGGCAGAGCTTGAAATCAGAGGGACATTGGGCATCACACTCTGCAGGCTATTTCTCCTTGCCTGTGCCATCCCCATGGGGGTATCAGGAATTCCTTCATCAGGAATAAAGCCATTTGGCTTTATTTCACCAGAGCACTCTTTGGTGCTCTGCAGCTGGATTTATCTATTCAATGCGACGATATCTACTATGTCTGTGTGCCAGGCTTTGTGCAAGTTACTTTCACGTGCACTATTTGTCCAAGAATTTTTCATTCTGTAACCAGTCATTGCAGTAGGTTCTGATAAATCTCCAAGACAAAGCCAGCAGGGTTCGGCAGGCATCGGTGACCTACATTTAAATTTGAGCTTTCCAGTAAAACTGTAAAAGCTTTCAAACATGGCCATATCTTTGCCATGTACTACAGAAGTAATGAAGATCCTTCTCTGGTACTCCAAACTATGCACGGGGCAGCTTGGCCAATGACTACACTCATCGCATAGGAAATTGGGCTCTTCAGTTTTCTCCTTTGTGAGTGGGCATTGGTTGTTCCCCAAGAGCCCAGTGTCAAGTGGAGTCTTTTAAAACAAACAAACAAACAAACAACCTAAATACATCCTGATGGTCCCCTGCACTGTCTCACAAGCAAAGCCACTATTCTGGCCTCCTCTCCAGATTGACTTGTTAATCCTCTGCTTATTTGATCCTACTGAGCTCCCAGCTGGATTTGGGAGCCCAGACCCAAACTACGGCAGGCCTGCAGTGTAGCTGCATCTAAGAGAGGGAAAGGAGGGGCACGGAAGGTGGCATACCTTTGCAGCCCAGGTGGGTCTGAAGCAAGGCACAGCTATCAGATGCCACAGAAACTTCAGGCACATTGTCATACTGCTCACAGCTGCTAGCTATGGCACCACTAGGATGGGAATTAAAAGCGTGTACTACAATGAGCAAGCACTGAAACCCATGCATTTTGGGGATAAAATGATTAATTTGGACCTAATAAATATGCAAATTGGGAGCTCTGTTTAAGTGTCTGTCATCTGTGTCCTTTTTATGGGAAAGAAATTCTTAATTCAATGGAAACTCCAACCAGTGGATCTTTAAGTGGTACCATGGGGGCCCCTTTAATTAACCTGCGAATGTGCAGGGAACTTAAACAAGAAGAAGGTAACGCCTTAGTTCTGAGCCAAGACACCTTGGAAAAAGCATAGAAGGACAGCCTACTTGACTTCAACCCCATAAACGAGATCAAGTGTCCTCTAAATTCCACTTGGTAAAGACATATCTTGGATTCATGTCTTGGTTATATGACCAGGGTTTATTTTCATTTTTTAATTAAAACATTTGTTTTTCTGATTCATGTGCTCATTGAATATGCTTTGTGAGGTTTCGAAAAGTATGAAAAAGAAGGGCTAAGAGGACTCGTTTGCAATCTCACTACCCTACAGAACCACTGGGGACATTTTGGCATATTTGATAGCATCTTGCTTTGTCATTTAGAATGAGTCCAGGGGGCGACACCTGGTGGGGCTGGGGGACTTTCTGTCACTTCTTTGGGGATGGAGGGATGGGCCCCGGGGCATAGACAGGGCTCCAGTTGCCCTGGTGTTCTGGGATGGCAGGCACAGCATGTCGGAGCATCAGGCGCATGCCCACATCTGCCCCATAAAGGGGAAGGGGGACAATGCAGAGTGTGGGCTGGGCAGTGGGAGTGGCGGAGAGGCAAGTTAACAGCACAGACCCCAGAGGTAGGACATTTGGCGTCAAATCCCAGCTCTCCCACTTAGGAGCTACGGGATCTTGGGGGAGTTACCTCACCTCTCTGTGGCCTGATTTCTTCATCTGTAAAAAAAGAGATAATAGTCCAGACCACAGTGGCTATTGTGAGGATTAAATTAGATAATACATGTACTGCAGTGAGAACAGTGCCTGGCTGTTCGATAATGCTCGATAACTGTTCGATAATGCTCAACAGTTCGATATTAGGTTATAATATTTCCTGTTACAGATATTATGACATTTTTTATACCTTAAGAGCATTTTCCAAATATCTTCTGCTGACTTAGGGAAGAGAAGGCAGGAGGAACAGCTGGATTTGGAAGTAGAAGACCTTAGTTCAAGCTCAGACCCAGCTACTTACTGGCCATGCCAGTCTTTGATTTCATGCACCTCGTTTCTCAGCCTGTGCAGTGGGATCATGAGGTCTTCCTCGCCAAAGATGGAAAAGTGCTTTGTGTATGAGAACAGCTGCAGATTTAATGTGGAGGGTTTACTACTAATACTTTTACCGGTGAGTCTCTGATTACAGAGAGGCAGCAGAGAAAGGAGGGAGGGAAGGATGGACTTTGCTGGACAAACATTTGCAAAAGATCTGAACAAGAAGGAACCTGATGTCTTTACTTGGTGCATTTATCTGGTCCAGGTAGACCAGGGCTTTGTGCTCCTGGTTCCTGGGGTTGCCTTGTTAGCTCGTGGCAGGACCCTGGAAAGGGGGGAGGATGGAAGGGTTTTCTTGATGGGCTCCTCCCAGGCCAGGCCCCGGCAGAGGGTGAGGCTGCTGAGGAGCAGGTGTCAGGGAGGGGAGAGGAGGGCATCCTGGTGGCCACTCCCTCACCTGTGGCGAAGGTGGTGGCAGTGACGCTGCTCCACGAGGCATCCTGGGCGGCCTGCAGGAGCACCGTGTAGTCTGTGTTCTCCGACAGGCCCTCCAGCCGGATCCAGGTGTCCTCGGCATCCACAATCAGCTCCTGCGCGACGGGCCAGAGGAAGAGAGGCGGAAGGAGTGAGTGGCTTGCAGTACGGGGAAGTGGGAGGGGAAGTCAGAATCCACGGGCAGCTGGGTCAGTGCTGCAGTGGCCGTGCCCTCCGTCCCGCAGTGCAGAGGAGACTGCGCCAATGAGCAGAGAGGAGAGCTCCCATGTGAGATTCGGGCCAGCTCCTATCTCACAAATGCATATTGGGATAAATTTAGGTACCTGGGTTATTGAATCCATGCTGCACTGGGTTTGCTTGAGAGCAGAGGAAGAAGCTGAGGAAGCAGGATTCTAAGCCTCCCCATTCCCTTCAAACATACTAGTTCTGCTTAAATAAACTATGCTGGGGATTTGGCTTCTGCATGTGGTTTCCCTTCAAAACAGGACTCCACTGCTAACAAAAAAATTTGAAAACCTGTGTTCTAGATGCACTGTTTCAACTGATGACATGAAACTAAAATTGTTTTTTTTTTTTTTTTTTACTGTAGACTATGCAGATGTAGCCTTTGTAATGCTGACAGGCACAAAAGCCTGTTGAATTTGGTATCCAGCTCATGCTTGCTTGGCCTAGTTGGTGAAAATTATTCTACTATCATGCACTTGGAAGTTTACAACCTGCTGTGTACCATGATATCGGAGGCACCACCACAACCGAGTGAGGTTGCTGGGGTAGATGCCCCTGTTGTTGAGAGAAGAAGCCGAGCTTGGAGAGGGTTAGCTCTTTGCCTCAACTTATGTAGAGGGGAGTGGTCGAGTCAGGCCTAGCTCCCAGCTCTCCGGCTCTCTCCTCACCTGCAGGTGTGTAACCACGATGGGAAGCCTAGTTCGTTCCCTGTGGATTGCTGCCTTCCCCTCCCTCCAGTCTCCCCGGGTCTTTGCACTGGTCAGTCTCCACATGACCTTGCTTGAGAGGAATGGCCTGCCGCCTTGCCGGCACGCTCTCACCTTGCGGCTCCCATCGGCAGATTTGTAGGTCAAGACGTAGTTCTCGATCTCTGCCCGCGGAGGCTGCCAGGAGATCAGGGCACTTTGTCTGGTGACTTCACTGGCTGTCAGGTTTGCAGGGGGGTCCAGGACTGCAAGGAGGAGACAGTGGGAGGGTGTGCCTGCCTCTCCACTTCCTCCCTGCTTGCTGCCAGGCATAAATATCTACGGACTGACCCCAGTTCTGGCTTGGACAGGAGCATGAAGGGCATTCCTGGGTCAGAAGATAATTGTTCGGTGCCATGACCACTCTTGCAGCTGCTCCCCTGGTCCTCACAGGCCTCTGGACTTGGATGTGACATCTCTCAATCTGACCCTCTATGCCTGGGACCTTGATCCTATTAAACCCTCATTTCTGCAAGTTCACTCTTGAACTTCCCACATTTACCCTTGTCTACTGTACTTGTGCTCATGACCCCACTCAGCAGCTCTGTCGTCCATATCTAGCCCTTTAATATCCATCAGGCTTTCCTGGGCCAGGGGCATTCCCAGCCCTGGCCTCTCTTGGCCTGGTTCTACTGCTGTCACCCAGACTCAGGGTGAGGGCCGAAAGCAAATATATCTGCCAGCAGAGAGCTTTTGCTGAATTTGGGCTGCAGTCGACTGAAATAAGAACAGCTCATAGCTGCACTATCCAAAGCCTATAGAGTATACTCTAGCCTACCACAAGGAAACTGATAATGTTTTAGAATCTGCAAAAGCCTCCAGGGACACAGGGTACAGCAGTGACTGTGTACTCACGGGTGGAGAAGTTGGTGCTAATGGTGCCACTGGTGAGAGGCCCATTGGTGGCGTACATGGTGACAGTGTAGTGGGTGGAAGGAAGCAGGTCTATAAGCTGGAATTCCTCGCTGACTCCATCAACCAGGATGGTCTCTCCAGCAACTGAAACCAGATGAATGTGAATGAGCTTTGAACGAGTCCGCTCAATTTAGGAAAGACCTACTAAATCCAAAGGCATGTCACAAGGACTCCATGCAAGAGAATTTTGGAAAAAATCTTCTACAGTTAACCTAAGTTCTGTAAAGTCTTTTATAGATAACCAAAGTTAGCATCGTATTTCACGAAAGGATCCCCTCTCATTTCCTTTTATATCTTAACTGAGGAAAATATTCCTTATATAGAGGTCAAATTGTCTTTTACATACTTCTGCTTAGGTTTTGGAGTTGCAAAGAATAAACCGAACCCTTTGTTTACATGGCCCCTGTCTCCCCACGACCCTTCCTGATCAAGTCTTTTTCCTCTAGACTGGGAAAATTCAGCCCCACCTCCCCTTACATTTAGATAAAATTTTTTTTTTTTTTTAAGACAGAGTCTCACTTTGTTGCCCAGGCTAGAGTGAGTGCCATGGCATCAGCCTAGCTCACAGCAACCTCAAACTCCTGACTCAAGCAATCCTCCTGCCTCAGCCTCCCAAGTAGCTGGGACTACAGGCATGCGCCACCATGCCCGGCTAATTTTTTTTTTTTGTATATATATTAGTTGGCCAATTAATTTCTTTCTATTTATAGTAGAGACGGGGTCTCGCTCTTGCTCAGGCTGGTTTTGAACTCCTGACCTCGAGCAATCAGCCCGCTTCGGCCTCCCAGAGAGCTAGGATTACAGGCGTGAGCCACCGCACCCGGCCTAGATAAAATTTTTAAAACCTTCACAATCCTGGCTGCTTTTCTGTGGACAAGCAGCATTTTATCAGTCTCCCTGCTGAAATGCAAAACTCAGAATCAAGAACAATAATTGAGATGTACCAATGAAACAAGCAGGGTCAGGCTGTGCTTCTATTTGTGCCATTGATATTAATCCATCAGGTTTTGGGACAGCCATTTAACACTGTTGTTGCATGCTGAGATTATTACAAATCAAAGCAAAGATCTTGTTTATAACCATTCTCCCCACCTCCCAATACAACCTTGTTAGTTGATTTTTTATACCCATGAACAGAGCTTCACATTTATTTCTATTGCAATTTGCCTTGTTGATTGACTCTTGGACCACTGTTTTAGCTTATTGAAATATTTTTAATTTGGTTTCTATTGATTACAGTTTTGTTTTACGTACACATTTGGTAAGCATGTCTTCTTTGAATTTGTTTAAGCTGCTGATAAAACTGCTCGTTAGATCAGGGCCAAGCCTCTGTTGGGCAGTTATTAATAGAATACTTCTGAATCATTCTGCACACTAGGCAAATCTCTAAAGTTGGTAGGGCCTGAGGTTTCAAGTTTCTTAGGATCTAAAGACATAGGAAGGCATACAAGCAAGTGAAAATTCAAACTAATACTCTTTGGAAGAGTGTACCTAACACTATCTTTTTAAGATCCTCTTTCGCACATCATGCCATTAGCCAGTGCTCCAGCCATGGCAGTTCCTCAAACTCCTCATGCATTCTCACTCTTCTGCAAATGCACACGGGCTGCTCTTTTTCTTGGAATTCCCTTTATTCCCCTCATCTTTTTTCTTTCACTTTATTTAAGACCTTCCTCTTTTCCTCCCCTCCATGCCCTGGCCCCAATCATAATGGTCCATCAGATGTGGCCCTGGGAGTTCTGTGCTCGCCTGTATCATACATGGCCCATATCGGGCTGTAACTATTCACTTCTCTGCACCGTCACCAGAGGGCAGTTCCGTAAAGACAAGAACTCATGTTTTGCTTCTGAATCCATATCATCTTATAGAGGCCATCTTTATGGCCCATGGGAGGGCATCAGAAGTATTTGTTGAATGAATAGAAATTAATTGCTATGAGGGAGCTGTGTGTTTTGTACCTGTGAGCAGGTGTATGTCTGACTGCGTTAAGGGAATAAAGGAAGTTTTGACAAAGGAGGTAGGGTTGAAACTGAGACATGAAGGATGGGGTTTCTAGGCAGACAAGTGGGGAGAGAATTTCCTGCTGGAGGAAACAGCATGTGCAAATGCGTGGAGGCTTGAGGAAGCATGGTGAGAGTTAAGAGCTGCGGGGCGATGGCCTGCAAGGAGGGGTGCTGGGAGTTGAGGTGGATTGTGCGTGCACATCGACGGGTTAGGACGTGTCCATGGAAATGATATCCATTCTTTGAGGAAGTTGTTCAATCAACGACAGTTCCAGCTAACTCCAACTATGATCCATCATGTACTTTTCCATTTTAACTAAGGAGTAAGCGATAAGTGGGGTTTTCTAAGGCCTTGCTGAATTACAAATGTGCTAGTTATATTTACCAATAAAAACAAGGACATGAAGCGGTTTTGATAAAACATTTACAGTGAACCTGTGCTTGTATGTGGTAATCACTGATTCCTTTTCCAAGTTGTTTAATAGTCTGTTTTAGTTTTTACTTTCTCAAGCTTTGACAATATGTTTACTTCTTTGCACCTTACAGAATTGACTTTCTCTTCCATTTTTGAAAATCAAGACATCTGCCTGCCTTCTGTCTTCTGGTATCTTTGTTCTCTGGATTCCTGAATATAACCCACAACAATTCTGTGACCACATGTTTAATTTAGGCTGAGTCTCTAAGCCTAGAAACTTGGAGTACACAACCCTGTTTTGCTTTGGGCTTCTCTATTCAACTTCAAATAGCATAAAGTGAACAAGCATGATAAAGAAGACATTAAATTCAGATTTTATGTTGGTTCAACCTGTTGGGCTGGATATGGGTAGAGAAGACAAAACAACAGAAGAGTTTACTAGTTCTGAATTCTTTGTCACCTGTTATCATGTTCATATGTTCCAAGCTTGGTCCTATAACTTCTGTGTTTTTCTTGCTCTGTAAGTATCTAGAAAAGTCTGCTTTCCTATTTGTAGCATTTTGGGACAAGTCTTAGCTCCATGCTGAGTTGCCCTAGGTTACCTGCCTTTCTTGCACTGTTCAGATTTAGCTTTCTCAACTCCTGGAGTTGATATACTTTTCAAAGATTGTGGATATCTTGGGGGCTTTATAGTATAAGTGAAGCAGGAACATTTCTAATTTGTCCCTCGGATTCACAGAGTGGTTTGTCTCTTGACTTCCGTCTGGTCTGCATCTTCCCCACCCGGCTGCTGCACAGGCCTGCAGGTACCCACCTGCGAAGTGCGTGAGGACGATGACGTAGCTCTCCACCTCACCCACCGGCGCCTTCCACTGCAGCAGGGCTTCTGTCGGGGTGATGTTGGTAGCAATCAGATCCACAGGGTTGTCCATGGCTGAAGCAGAACAGGAGAGTATCAGCTAAAAGTACCAGGAGCTGCGGGATGGACGTGCAATGAACTAGCTCACGATGCACGTCTGCTGCTGTGCTATACGGAATAGTGCAGTGAGCAAAGACCTCTTCCCTTTCTGCCCTTCTGGTTCCATCAACCCCGTTCTCTTCTCCTTATTATCCTTCCTCTCAAGTATCTAATCTCCCTGTATTGCCCCAGCTCTTCCTTTTGTTGCATTCAACTTCTATTTTTGCAGAGCACTGTGTCAGGTGTTACGGGGATTTCGAGGTGTGGCTATTGTGTCTTAGACATTTAAATGTAGATGGAGAAACTAAGAACATGCAGAAATTGTTATAGTTCTTTAGTTGATGAGATAATCATGCTTCCCCAGTCTATTTGCACTTTTATAAATGTAATGTATGCCTTGTGGAAGATCTCTGTTGATGAGCTTCAGGAAATGCGATGGGAGCTCCTCGAGGGCAGGAGTAGCCCTAGGATAGAGAACTTAGAAGGTATTCGGTAAGTACTTGTGGATTGACTGCACAGGACTCAGGGTGCCTCTAAAGGCATATCTGATTATTGCATTCTTGCTTCACTACTCCCAAGGCTCACCCAGAGCTGAGTCCTGGATATTCTTTTTGTTGCATTGAGAGTCAAGGGCATTTTTACAGGCTTAGGCAGGCCAAGAGTGCTCCTTGGGGAACAGAGTGTGCTTGTCATAGGATCGTCTTCCTATTCTCACTGGTCCATGCCCTAAGCCTCTGCTTTATTACTGTGCTTCCCTTCCATAAAGTTAGAATGTATTTCAGAAATGGATGTTATTATAACAGTTTAGGTATCAGCTCAACCTAAGCATCATGCACTTGCTTTTGGGAACCAAATCTCCTTGATCTGATCCTGTTCTCTAATTGAAGGTTCTTTTTGCTTCCCTACATCCCTCATCACAAAGTAACACACAGAAAATATTTTTATACTTTTAAAATTTAAATTGTATCCATAATCTATGCCTTCAAAGAGTTCTTCAAATGCAGTCTTTAGGAAACTACAATTGGCTTGATCTCTCTGAGACATGCTTGATACAATGAGACAAGCATGATACCCTGAAGGGGAACTCATTTCCAAAAGTTGTAAGATGATATACCTCAAGTTTAAACAACAAACAAATGGCAACATCATAAGACACTTCTGAGGGCAAGCTAGTTATTGGAAGTTGCCAAAATAGTTCTGCCTAAACTTGAAGGAGGGCAATTGGGTTGATAAACCACTAGAGTTGGTACCCCAAATATCTGCTTGAGAGGCACTGGCTGCTGATGTCCAGGAACCTAAGGAATAAGTTTTTGACCTCAGTTGCTGCTCTCTTTTACCTTGGGAATAGGAGGGTCTTGACGTCCATTTCGTGGTGCTCAATGGGAAAAATCCTGCTTTCTCACATACGAATTTCTAGGACACTCAGGAAGGTGGGATTGTGGAATGACTGCATGGGACTCAGGTCGTCTCTAAGCATTGACTTACTGGACATCACTTTCAGTCAATGCATTTTGGTACTTTAATGGTCACGGATAGTTTGATGGGTACGGCAAGACTGAATAAAAAACACGGCTGGGTTGTCTGTAGTCATAGGCCTGGAAGGGGACTAGGGAAGATCAGAATATTCTGTCCTGTCTTTAGAAGAATAATTTGTGTGTTTCTGAAGGAATATCTCCTTGGCCATTGCTTTAAAGATGCTGTTCTGAGCTTGTGAGAACATCTGCAAAAGCAGTGAGAGACTCCAAGGTGTATTTCCCTCGTTCAGGAAATACCATTCTCCAGGAAATTAAGCAACCTCAGGAAATCCAGGTGTTCTCTTAATGAGGCAAGGCGGATGCTTTCTTGTGTGCTGTGTGAGCCATGCCTTAACTAGGAGATTTGGTCTAGGGTTTGGGAACAGAAAACTTTGGCTGTGGCTTCTAGTGACTTCTATAGCAATCTTTGCTAGTTCTGCCTGGTGCACTTGCGGAAGGTCCAGACAGAGGGGCCGTGGAGCCACTGAAGGAGCTCTGTCCTCAGGCCCATCCAAGGGGCGGTTTTCCAGAGGAAGGTCATGGGGTTTGGACCACCCTTCCCTCTTTCGCTTCTTTCAAGCTGGTCACTCCCTCCCACCTCCTTCCTCTGGCTGATTTCACAGGGGCTGACTGAGGCTGCAAAGGACACGTGCATCCGACTGGAGGGCCTGTCGGAGAGCACAGACTATGCCGTGCCCTGCAGGTGGCCCAGGACAGCAGCATGGCCACCACCACCTCCACCACAGATGAGGGAGCTACCGCCCCACTGGTGCCTTCTTTCTCCCTGGCCCATAAAGCAAGAGCAAGTGCAGCTACTTGGTGGTCTCTGGCCATATCTACTGAAGAATTTTGTAACTCCAGTTTCATTATTGGAATAACAACACTTTTCCGAAATGAAATTTCCTTATCTGAGTCTTTAAAAAAAATCAAATGGATGATTCAGATGTCTGTTCTGGAATTTACTTCCATTGTGTGTGTTTGAAAGGGTACTTTTTGTATTGAAAGTTCCATGAAAATTCCTAACTGAAACTAGGAAGACTCTTAGAGGGTGACTCTGTAAACTCTTAGTATTAGAGAATATTGGGGGGAGAGAAATTGCAAATTGCCCTGCATGACACAGCGAGTCAGAGGAGCATTCTGGAACGAAGCCTCGGACCCCAGAACCAGTGTCTTCTGTCTGAGCCAGAACAACTTTGCTCTTTGCTTCCCCTGCTTGCTGCAGGTCTCAGTCGGGGCCCTGACCCGACACGCCACAGAGACAGGCCCACCTGTGTGCACCAGCGTGCAGACGCGCTCGCTCTCCTCCCGGCCCCGCACGCTGTTGAGGCTGATTTCGTACTCGGTCGCGGGGTACAGCCTAGTGATGGCGAATTCTGTCACAGTGTTGGGCACCACCGAGCTGTCTAGTCGTCCCACTGCAGAAGAGCAGAGCCCACAGTCAGTTCCGCGGCTCTCTCAGAAACACAGGTGGGTGCAGGACGGTAAACGGCTCATGGGCTGGGAATGTTGGAGTTTGAAGAGTTTGCATCCCAGTCTCACCCCTTCACTTTATGGGCTTTTTGGAGCAAAGAAAAGTATTCATGATATAGTTTTCTAACAGGCTGGCCTTCTCTGAGGCAGATACATTATGGCAGCCACAGGGCATGGCCACAGGAAGTGGCCCACGCAGCCCAGAGACAGGGTGGCCTGGAAGGCTGTCCTCCCCTCTCGCTGGAAGTGAGCGTGCCCCCTACTCTGCTAACAATGCCATGTGCACCAGCAAGAACTGGCAAGAGGCAGGCAAGGTCTGGGCCAGCTTCCTCTGACTCATGCTTGGCTGAAGTGGCAGAAACAGGACCACGTCACTGTGGTTCCCTCCACGGGTCCATCTGGCGCTGCTGGGTCCTTAGCCATCTTCCTGGGTTCTAGTCTTTGACTTTATTGTCTTGGGAAAGGGCATGTGACCTGCCTCTTGGCAGATCCTTTTAGGGCTCTTTGTCCTCATTATACTGCCTAAGTAGTGGTGACCAGCCACCTCTGCTGGTGAAGGCCTGCTGTCTGGGGGATGCGATCAAGCCTTTCTTGGGAGGTGTTGGTGAGTGCGGGGTTCCCTGGCCCATCACCCCACGCTCTTTCTGACGGAGCATGCCACAGACGGGAGGAAAGCCCGGGCAGGGCTTTGGTGTCCTGCGGGACGTGCTGGTTCTCCCATGATAGTCTTCACCCAGCTCCCAACCCCATTTGTCTCTAAGCAAGCTAATCGATGTGTTACCTTGGGTGGGTCGGTACGACACTCGGTAGTAATCAAAAGATGCAACAGGAGGGCTCCAGGAGACTGTCACTGAGTCCTTGGTCACGTTGCTAATTGTGATGTTTTTGGGGGGATCAATTCCTACAAGGACCCGGTGGATGTGGGGAAAAGACAGAAAGCACAGTGTGAAAAAGGGTTTCCCTTCCTGACTGTGTGCCGACCAAGAGCCAGTGGTGTCCCTAAGGCAGACAAGACCTTACTGTGTAGTAGGGCATCCTGCAAAGCATGGTCAGCCTGATGTTTCACCCGAAACCTTAGCGGTACGGTCGAAGCCATGTTCATGAAGAACATTTTAACAACGTGAAGCCACGCTGGCAAGCCGTGTGCCTGTGCAGCAAATATTACCAATCTGCAGGTCAACTAGGAGCTTTCCTTTAAGTTCATATATTTTGCTTTGAACTGGGAGTAACACAGTCATTTTCTCTGGGGGAACTCCTCAGATAAACCCAATTCTGCCTTTATCTCTTATTTTTTACCAGCCATCTTTGGTTCAATTTCAAAAAACCTGCCTATTGACTGTACAGGGATTTCAGACTGCAAGTCCAGAACAAATCCACTCTTCTAAATTGTATTTCATTTATGCTGTATACTTATTTTATTTTTTTTTTTTTGCTGGGGAATCACAGGGTTGAATCAGCTGAGTGTTTAATCCACTGGTCCAGTCTGTCAGTTCTTAACAGCATGTAGGAAACTATCCAGACATACATGCTCTCACCCCATGCATTTGGGTTTGTACTTGGGAATGATGAGATGGGACTGATCTAGTTCATCTCAGAGTGTGTGTGTTTCCCAAACAATGGTCAAATCAACCCCGTTCTCTGAGTGCCAGGTTACTACATGGTTGGTGCTAGTCCCCTGTGATTCTGAGGAATCGCCATTTGCCCCAGCGACCTTGCTGGGCAGTCAAGAGATGGCTCCCCAGAATAGGGCAGGTGTCTCCACGGTAGTGGGATTCCTCTCAGGGACTAGCTTTCTCCAGGGCTTTCTGCTAGGCTGGGAGTGGGAAGACCTTTGGATTGATGCATTCAGGCCTTTATCTCCTCAAGACATTGAATCTGTCCTGCCTTTCGGTTGAGAATTTCCCATCTAATGCATCTTATGAGCACTGGAACAAGTAGCTGTTTCAGAACAGCTCAGAGACCCTCTCTAGCCATGCAGGCAGTCCCTTGCACCCTGGGTGTTTCTCTCTTTAAATTCATTGACTTGTCGAAGGCAACTGTGAGCTCCCCCTTCGCCACCTGCTGTCCAGTCCTCCCGCTCACCTGTGGTGATGGAGCCCACGATGGGCTCAGAGGTCACTGTGCCATGGACAGCGACCAGGTTCACAATGTACTCGGTGGCCGGCTGCAGGCCCATCAGGACAGTATGCCTCTTGGTGGCATCCAGGGAGACCTCCTTCATCTCTTCCTCCTCATCCCTGGGGCTGTAGTTCAGAATGAGCCTGTCCGCTGGGGGAGACGGGTCGCTCCAGGTGATGTTCACACTGGAGGAGCTCACGTGGGAGAAGTGCAAGTGGGAGATGGGACGGAAGCCTGCGGAGCAGAGAGGCGGATGGAACGCGTGTGAGGACAGGCGTGTTGCCTTAGAAGAGCCACCTGACAGCAGGGCTCCGTGCTCCTTGCTGACAAGGGGCCCACCTTCACCCGCTCAGCCCACCCCTTGCTCTCCAGTCCCGCCCACTCCAGCCTTGCCGAGCCCTACGCTGAGAAATAGATTCCGGTAAAACCAAAAATGCCGCTGAGAGTCATTCGAATGCTGACCCAGGATGTAAGCCTCGATTCTGAGGGTGTTTGACGCGGTCCCGTGGGTTTCCTGAATGCCGCTGACGTGGGCAGCAGGGCAAGATGGACGGAATGGACGACCACGTCCCGGCCGTAGGGACGCAGGAAACCGGACACAGGTTTCAGTAGGCAGCACCCGCTCAGCTCCCCCTTTGCCTCCACCCCTCCCCTCCTGACGTGCTTTAGTGTCCCTCTATCTCTGGTTCTACCATCTGCTCTTTCTCCTTTCTCTGGAGGAAATGGGGCTTTGGAAGAGTGCGTGGCCTGGATGGCCAGCTCACGCTAAGCTCCCTGGATCCCTGGACACGTGGGATTCTGCCACCCTGGTACCTGTGAAGGCGTCCACAGTGGACTCCAGGCTCTGCTGCCGGCCCCTCTCCGCAGTGACCGAGATGATGTACTCCGCCCCGGGCTCCAGGTCCGTCAGTGTGTGCGACGTCCTGTCCCTGGGCACAGTGACCTCCGAGGCGATCCCCGAGGACGGCGTAAAGGTGATTCGGTAGTGGTCGATGGGGCCGCTGGCCTTGGTCCAGATGAGGGAGATGGAGGTCTCCGAGGAGGCTGTCACCATGAGGTCTCGGGGACTGTCAAGCTCTGTGGATCGGCGTAAGTGGCCCATTCTACACAGGTTCCCAGGAGGGCCAGTGTTCATGCCCCCCCCCCCGTGTGTTTCTAAGCTACCAGCAGGACACTCAGCAAGAGCACTAGCTTGTCACTGCTGACACTTATCTCAGTTTGCTGAGCCCCGTCCCTCTGAAAGACGGCGGGGGCCTGGCAGCCAGATGGGCCATCTGCAGGAAGCATTATTAGCTCAGACGCCGCTGGAATACATCCACCTCTGGGACAGAGCTGCCTGCCGGTTTCCAAGCTCCCCATGTCACTTTCTCCCGGCCTTTCTCAGTGGGCCAAGCAGGGCAAACGGGAGTCACAGTCAAGTGGGAATGTGCCAGCAGTGCACGCCCTCACCCACCCTGAGGCCACTTGGGCTTGTCTAACCACGGGTGTGCAGGCAACTGCATCTGAGGACCCCGAGAGCCTTTCCACGCGGCTCTCTAGAGAGGGAGTCTATGCTGGACTGAGCCTTGGGACAGGGGCTGGCCTAAAATCCCCAGCCTAGCCCAGGCTGCTTGTGCCTAAGCCACTGCAGTGATTTCGACATTTACCCAGGAATTGGAAGCAAAACTGCTAGATCTAGAGCAGCAAGGGCCTCAAGTGGATTTTTATACTGCCCTTGGGTTTAATGGGTTGTTCTAGACCTTTCTCTCCAGTGGCCTTTTTGAGGGCTTTTGTGGTGCAGGGTGAATGTACCCCTTTCTGCCCGCTGTGGGATGGCCTGCTTTGGCACCAGCCCACTTGGGACTTCCCACCTCTGCTCTGCACAGCTCTGGGCAGCCCTCCAGACCACAGGGGACCTCACCCAGGTCTATGGGGAAGAGGGCGGGACTCCATCCTGCGTGTCAGATTTCAGAGGTCAGGCGTGGGGTGGGTGTTGTCCTAGGCTGACGGTGTCACCATCAACCTGCTCACCGGTGGGCCTTGCCTTCTGACTAATTCTTACCAGGACAAGCCTCCGGGGTGCCTCGGGCTCACAGGCTAACCCAGTCTCCTTCCTCGCCCATCCGCCTACTCACCAGTCCTGGCATTCATGGTGGCGGGCACGCTTTGCTGTGAGTCCATGACAGCAGAGATTCCAACGCCATACTCGGTGCCGGGCACCAGATCTATGGGCAGAAGGACACACAAACATTATCCTGGGTGTGTTGGGGACAGGGAAGGCTGAAAGGAGGGAAGAAAATAATCTTAGACTCCTATTCATATGTTGTGTTTAGTCCTACTTGAACGCCCTCCTAATTTTACATATTAGGAAATTCCAACTTACTACTTGGGAAATCCATGCCAAGTCGACAGGATGAACCGGCCAGCACAGAGCTTCCTGCTGGCTGGCGGGCTCTCAGGGGAGGCAGGGAGGCTGCCCTTGTCAGTGACCTTCAAAGTGTGCTTCCCTGTGTGTTTAGACACTCGGGTGGCTAGAACCAGTGAAGTGAAGCGGTTTCTTGCTTAGGTTTCTTGTGAATTAGGGGAGTATGCAAGTGAGAGGGGCAGTGTGGACAGGGGCCTTTCCCATATTTCTTGAATGTTTTATATGAGGACCAAGCTATGCCTTTTATAGGTAGGAGCTCAGGCCATACGGGGACTCCTGGGTCCCCTCTAGGGAGGACAGTGGACGGGTTGTTTTCCTGAGCACAGAGCTGTGGGCCTTTGAGGGGGGACGTGCAGAAGCCTGCTGCTGTGGGCTCCCCGCAGGGTCAGTAATTCCAGCCGTAGGGTGTTTAAAGCTATGGATCCCACTTTAGGGTGGCTTCTGAGGGAGTCCAGGAGGTTGGAGGAAATGCAAAAACTGTCTAACTAGAGGGTGTAAGCCTCTCAGGAACTCCTTTGGGGGATTCAATACAAAGGATCACTGAGAGGCTCCCAGAATACCTGGAGTTCTCTGGGCTCTCTCCCTAGCCTCTCCCACACTCATTTCCAGACTAACTGATTTGGCTGGTGTGTTAGTTTCCTGTTGCTGCTGTGACAAATGACCACAATTTAGCGGCTTACAACACACACATTTTTATTTTATAATTCAGGAGGTCTGAAGTCTAAAATGGTTTAGCAGGGCTGCATTCCTTCTGGAGGCTCTAGGGGGAAATCCTTTGATTTTTCCAGCTTTTAGAGGCGGTGGCATCCTTGGTTTATGGTCCCTTAAGCTGTCTTCAAAGCCAGCAGCTTGGCACCATCAGGTCTGTTTCTCTCTCTGACTTCCGCTCCCATCGTCACAGCCACTCTGACTCTGACTTCCCTGCATCCCTCTTATAAGGGTCCCTGTGGTTACATCGGGCTTACCCAGGTAGAACAGGGCAATCTCAGGGCAATCTCTCTGTCCCTGCAGAGTCCCTTTTGCCATGTAAGGCGACATATTCACCGGTGCTAGGGACTAGAACGTGGACCTCTTTGGGGCCCATTATTCATTCGGTCCACTACAACTGGCACCAGCTCATCCCATTTATTAGGACTGAGATGGTAGAAAAATGCAACAGAAATCAAATTGTCACCCCAGGTGTCTCCAACAGTCAGTCTGAGTCATTTCAGTAGTCCTCTTTGAGGGGCCTTTTGTGGGCTCCCCAGGATCACGGCTGATTACAATGCTTTTCCTGCATTTATATAATATTTGTGCTTTTCAAAATGAATGTATTTTACAGCCTCATCCCAACTCTGTGAGGAAGGTGGGATGGGCAGTCTTTTCTTCGTCTGTGTTAGCTTCCTGTGGCTGCTGTTACAGACTCCTGCGAACTGGGTGGCCGTAGACATCAGACATGTACCCTCCTGTGGTTCCGAAGTGTAGACGTCTGAAGTCAGGCTGTGAGTGGGGCCTTGCTCCCTCTGAAGGCTCTAAACGAGAGCGCTTCCTTGCCTCCTCCTCGTTTCCCGCGGTGGCCAGCACTCCTTGGCTTGTGGCTGCAGCACTCCCATCCCTGCCTCTGTTGTTCCCTGGCATTCTCCCTGTGTGACTGTGTCCTCTGTTCTTATGAGGACACCAGTCACGTTGCATTTAGGGCCCACCCTAACCCATTTTGACCCTGTCTTAACTTGATTGCATCCGTAAAGACCTTATTTCCAATTAAGGTCACACTCACAGGTTCTGGGTAGGTATGAATTTTGGGGGGCTGCTATTCAATGCAGTACATCATCTTTTTACAAAAAGAAACTGTGGCACAGAGTAGGTCTGTGACTAGCTAGGGGTGACCCCTGGCCTCTGGGCTCAGGGTTCAGGCTTTTAGGAGGATCGGGGTGTCCCTCGTTCCCTCCCACATCACTGGCTCCCCAGGCTGGCTGTCACTTCCCCAGAAGCCCTGATTTTGAGAGAAAGTACTTTAGCAACCTTTTCTTAACAAATGGCATGGTTTAGCCAAGGGGATACAGCATGGTAGCCAGAGGGCTCCACGTCCCCGTCCTCTACACAGCCGGGAGATAAACGTCCCCACGCTCCAGTACGGTAGAGCCTGCCGGGTCTTACCGGCCGGCTCCCTTGAAGGAGTGCAGTCTTGGAGCCCCGGCCGGGCAGGCCTTCTGATCAGCCCTCTTTCCCTTTCCTGAACGAGCTCCACCTCTTTTGCAGCACTTAGTTCCTTCTTTCTCTTAAGTGGCAACACCAGTGGAAGTAAACTTTGAAGTCTGGTGAACTTTGAAGCCTGACACGTCTGTGTTAATATTCAAGCTCTGCCACCTTCGACCTTCTAACTTTGATTACTTACTATCTTTGAGCTTCAGTTTCTGTAGAATGGGAATAACAACAGCAGCAGAGAGCCATTGTGAGCATTAAATGAGTCGATGCCAGTGCCTGGCCCTTAGTGATAATAGCCAATATTTTATTACCTTGCACAGAGAATGATTTCAGGATCTTTTTTAAATAAGTGGTCTTCTCTGCTATAAAAATGCCCTAGGCAGGTACGGGCTGGTCCCAGGTACACCCGTTGCTGTCGGTGGGCAGCGGCTTAGCCTGTTGGCTCTGTGGAAACCAGTGATTCAGGACGCCCAGGTGCCAGTGAGGAGCTCGGCCTGGCTGGCTGAGTACCTGTCTCTAGACTGAGCAGGCGATTGCAACGCCCCGATCTGTTCAAAGCACACATTTATCTCTGTCAATATGTTCGGTGAGTCCCAGGTACACCCTTGGTTGGGGAAATTAGATTACCTTTGGGACATAAACTACTTTTCTCAAACAACCAATCGAGATCTTCAATTGCCTATAATGAAGTAGAAATTTTCCAGTGTAGACGAAGGGTGACAGATGAGGGAGTGAGACAGAGATTATGTGTCGCCAAATGGATCTAACATGTAACATTTTCATCCCGGTTTCTTATTTATGAAGCTTAAATGGAATGTTCAATAATTTACAACGGAATCATCTTCTCCCAGAAAACTGCAGAGCAGAATTTAAAGCACTCTCTTCCCAGGTTCCCTGTCTAGGGGCTGGGGAGGTGGGGCTCACTCAGAGGCCGCTGCCTGCCGCCCGCCTTTGATTTTCAGCAGCTTTCTTCCTCTGCTGCAAGGAATTGTTGCTCCTGTCAGCAGGTAAAACACACTTCTGCTGGAAGAGAAGACGAGTATCCGAGGCACAGCTGGTGCACTTATATATCAGCACTTCGAGTACTCCTAGGATTTCGCACTTTATAAAGATCCCATTGCTCTCTATCAGTGCTCTCTTTATCTTTCCATCCAGCTCCTGCGAGTGGGAGCACATAAATGGCTGGGTTCCTTTCTTAACAACAACTCGGAAAATTCATCCCATAGGAAACCAGCACTCCTCTCCATTCCTTATAGAACTTCTTTTGTGCCGCAGGCAGCCTGATGCTTTGCTCCATTCTTTCACCTTGCACCCATTCTTCTCAGAACCCCGAAAGCACACACTTATCCACTCAATAAATGTTATTGAGGGTCTCCTTCGTGTCCGGCATAAGGCTGTGTGCTGGGTTGCCAGGGTGAGCTGAACAGACATCGCCCTTCTGGGGATGAAAAGGGATCTGTACTAAAAAAGTAAATTAATTATTCAGTGAGCACCCCTCACATGCCAAGCACCAGGCTACATGCAGGTAATCTAGAAGAACAATGAAGAAGAAAGGGAGGGAAGTAAGAGGGGGGAAATGAAGGAGAATTTCTGAGTGTCTGATGGTAAAGAGTTGTCTAGTTACAACTAAGCTTCTTAGAGAGCCACTCGAGGCATCGTATTTAATTCCCTGCAGCTCTGCGGAGGGTATGGCTGAGGAGCAAACAGAGGCCAGAGGAGTCACCCCTTGACTGAGGTCACAAAACTAATACATGGTAAAACTAGGTTGAGAACCCCAGCCCCTTGTTCTTTCCGGCACATCGTGGCATGGTTCCTATCCTTGAGTCTTTTTCAGGTTAGTAGGGGCCAGTAGAAGAGTAAACTGGAATTTGAGAGTCATTTGGTGTCAAACCCGGGGCTGCCAACTAAGAGATATTGCAAAGGGAGGATGGGATCGGCGCGAGCTGGCGTGGCCAGAGAAGGCTTTCTGCTGAGTGGACTTGAGCTGGGCCTCGAACACCAGCTAAGATTAGGAAAGGTGGGGGGAAGGAAACATGGAATTCTCTGTGGTCAGAATGGGGCCTGGAGCAGTCCTAGATTAACGAGGGCCAGAGAGGAATGAGGACCAGCACATTCTCACCTGCACTGTAAGGAACCTTGCAATATTATGGGCGGAATGACTCAGGAAGAAACCTATGCTTCATGCTTGCTGCTGCTAGCGGGGACCGTGGTAGAGAAAAGGAAGCCCAAAAAACTGAGATTGCTGTGTGTTGCCGGCACAAACGTGAGTACGACTCTTAGGGCCCACAGGCTGGGCTGGGTGCAGTGGCCGTGTGGAGACATGCGCCCTCCCCATCTCTAAGTCCGGGGGCTCATCTCCCAGGTGCTCCAAGTCTATCAAACTGGGGTTAGGGATTTGGTTGCCACTGTGCACGGGGCACCTGCCTTCACAGAGAGGGACAGACTGAGGGCCCTATCCCTGAGGAGCTTGTAGCCAATCTCTTGGTTTTATAGTTATCATGTTGCTATTGTTAGTTTTCATATTGGTCTCCTCACAGACTCTTAGGTCTTTGGGTCAAAGGATTTGTTTTTGGTTTTTCGCAGTATGTAGCACAGTGGAAACTATGTGAGGCATAG